AATACTCGAATTGATAATGTTGATAAAATTCAACTTAGTTGATTATAGTTTTTAGCGTCACCTATTTGGCTTGAGAATTCAAGCTTGAAAGCTCTTGTACTGAGGGTAAACCGTTGACCTATCAAAGGTTTGAGATAACCTAGGGAAACCTTACTTTGGATAGTTATATGTTAATTTATTATAAATTGACTTCTAAATGTGAATGTTGTATGCATGGGTTGATTTTCAATGTGAAAGCCTATGTTAGTTTCAATGAGTGTATGAAAATTTAATGTGCCTAATGTTATTGTGGTTTGAAATGAAAATGCCAAATCAAGATATTTTTAAACTATGAATATGTATATGTCTTTAGAAAGATGAATGTGATGATGTGTTGTAAATGAGTAGTGAGTGATTGATTTGGTAAAGATAAGAAATTAAATGGGTGTATGTGATATAAGTGAAAGATAAGAAATTAATGTACACTTGGGTAGTAATTGGTCGTGAGCCTAATATATTAATTTTGATAATGAGAAAGAAAAAAGTGAAATAAGTGAGTATTGATTATGGTATGATCAGCAGGGGGAGCTTACCTAGGGATTGGGAGTAGAGAAAAATTTATATGATATTTAGGTTGCCCTTTAGTGCATGAGGGTATAGCCTTGTCCCATAATTTGTCAAGGGACTTGTCCCAAAGTTTGTCGAGAGACTAGAATCTAGTTATCTCCATCGGTTCAATAAGGAGAATAGTCTAGGGTATGCGACACCTTAGATATTCGAGAATGAGGAAAGCTGTGATCCGAGAGTGAGTCATATGATCTTTGGTCGGGTCACACCTCACGATTGTAAGCTTGGGTATTCCAGTCACACTAACGAAGCTCTAATCAATGTTATAACCCACGATTTTAGTTTGAGGAAATAAGAAGGGTATAAGTTTAGTTGATCATTGCCTAAGTAAACATATGACGTGTCACATGAGATAAGTTATGGCAAGTCACGTGAATAATGGATCATGATCACATATTTGAGAATATGATTATAATACGCCTAGTACATGTTAGATAAAGAAGTTATTAAATGATAAATGACAAGTTATGATATGTGTGAGTATGTTTCACTTACTTGGTTTCTTATGCATGTATTTGGTTTATAATTAATATATAACTATATAGGGTAGGTTTAAGCTTAGTTACTGAGTGGCTAGCCTCACCCTTTTCATTTAATACTTTTCAGGCTCTAACTCTGGTGCAGAGAGGGAGAAGGCTTAAGAGGCTAGGAATTAGCATATTTCTTTTTGTATGCCTTTAGCTTAGTTTATTTTGTGTAATAGTATATAATTGCCTATTCTATATTGCATGTTTTTGCATTTGCACTATTTTTGTTGATACAAATGTTAGATTTGTATTTTGGATCCTAAGTATTTATGTATGTTGAGTTATATATGGTTATAGGGCTAAAGTACTAATGCAAGTATAAAAATGATGATTTGAACATGTGTGGATTTAATTGAATTCAAAGTAATGACAATTTACCTCCCCCTCTGTTTTTGATAAAATGGGGTTGAGGAGTGAATTTTTGTTATATTTGGTTTAAATGTGGGTGACATGTTGTACTGATAGTTCTAAGTTTAATAGACATAGTTTAGGTGTTAGGAAAGGCTTTTGGCACAGGTTGAGAGTTTTGGTCACCCATTTTAAATAAAAGTTGTTAAAAATGGTCAAATTATATTTAGGTATCCAATTTCTTGGTGTGACTTAATTTGAAAGTGAAACCTGTACTACTAGTTAGTTCATGTTAGGAGCTTTTCGTAGACACCTAGATCTCATCATTCGAGCGTCAAATGAAGAATCAAGGTGTATTGGAAGTTCCCTAACTCTACTGTCAAATGACAGCAGAATCAGCTAAATTTTCTTCCAACATGTCGTGGCGCATGGCACTTAAGCCGCGGTGCGTGGCATAGAGAGTAACACACCGTGGTGCAGTGTGCATGAGTCGCGACGCATTGCTTTATCACATATTAAAGAGTTATCTTTTTTACTTGTTTTTGATTTCTTTCACTCTTCTGAAGTATCCCGAGCTTTTGAAACTTGTTTTTACTCTGATATAAAGAATTTTGATTAATTTAAATTCATTGATATTTAAAAATTTGAGATCCCTTGAATTTGAACTAAAACTTAGTAATCATCTTTTTGAGTTAAATCTTTGATTACCATAAGTCTTCATGTTAATTGTATTTAATTAATTTGATTACCAATTAATTATGTTAATTGTCACATATTAAAGAGTTATCTTTTTCACTTGTTAATTGTATCTAGTGGAGTGAAATTCTATACATTCAAATGGTGCAAGTAACGCCAAAATGAATTCTTTGTTAGCAATATCAATTTAATTACACATATAGGAAACAAAGACATTGAAGGTGACAACTCGAAGGATAAAACCACAGCAGGGATGAACTCACGAATACAGAAAGTGAATGAGGAACTTGGAAACAAAATGAATAAGGAAAATGGAGAGGATAGCAACACAGTGGCGAACAAAAAAAAGGAAGAATGAAATTTCCAAGCAAAGTTATACAAAAATTGAGACGAACAACAAATAATGAGTGTTAATAAAATCAACAAATTGCAATCTAAACAGAAAAATCAAACCAATTATTCATAAATCAAAACCAAATCAATCGACTAATGCATTAAAAAAGAAAAACACATTAGGATTCACCCTTTTTTTTTTACAGTGGTGGCATGATTTTTGTCAACGAAGAACTCAGGTTTTGGTCTTGAAACTGAGGGAGCATCGACTTATAAGATTGAGGAAGGACGAGGGTGATTGGTAATGTGAGGAATACTAGGGGTGTTCAATCTGGACCCATCCCGATTGGCCCGGTATCGTCCCGATCATATCGAGACGGGTCTTGTCCCGGCCCGAAAATAATCAGGACAGGACTTTACGGGACGGGAAAGGAAAGGGGTTCGGGATGGGACGGGACACGAGATTACCATCGGGACGTCCCGTCCCATCCCGAATATTATATATATTATTTTTTATTTTAAATATATTAATTATATTAATATAATTTATACTTATATTAATTTTATCAATTATAATTTTAATACTTACAATTCTTATTTAAAACTAAAGTTTTTTTATATTGATAATTTTAATGGCATAGAGTAAACATAGCGATATCTTTTTTATAATATATTAATTATATTAATATAATTTATTCTTATATTTATCTATTTAATAACTTTTATTTATAACATACTTCTTGCTTATTTTTAGAAGAGTAATTAGCTTAGTATATCTTCACTAAAGTAAAAGAACAATTATTTGATGTTATATTTGACTTGCCTGTTGTTGTTAATTTTATAGCATAAAGATCACTTGTATTTTTTATTATAATATGTAGTTGTGATTAATATAATTCAATAATTGATTTTAAATTATTGTTATTTATGTACTTATGTTATTTTGATTTTAAACTTAATAATTTATATAATTTAAAATTTTAATGAACATTATTATCCGAATCTTTTTTCGATATTATTTCATTTATCGGGACGGCGGGACATCCCGATCTTGTCCCGGTCCCGTCCCGACTCTTAACGAGACGAGACGACTTTCGAGACGGGACGAGACATGAGACCAAAATTCAGTCCCGATCTTTTTTTCGGGACGGGACAAGGGACAGGGGTATCCTGGTCCCGTCCCGTCCTGTGAACACCCCTAAGGAATACGGCGAGAGCAATGATTGTTGCTGTGAAGGAAGAAGAGCATTTTGATATTTTGCTTGTCTCATTTTTTACTAGTGAAGTACCTCATATTTAGAGTTGGAAATTCAGGCAGGCCGGGCCTATTCGAACTTGGCCTAAATAATCTCGACTCGAACAGGCTCAACTCTCTAAAAAGCCTGAATAGCCAAGCCCAGCCTGAATTCTTTTAGGTTTCGAGCAGCCTGAATACCCAAATTTATATTTTTAAAATTATTTTTAATTAATTTTTTCAAAAAATTAATTATTTTATTTTATAAAAAATATAAAATATATTTTTTAAAACTTAAATGATGTATAGGACTCAAAATATGATATTTGAGTATAAAATAATCTAAAACTTAATTAATTAATAAATATTTATCATATTTAATATATTTTGTAAAAATAAAATATTTTTATTTGGGTATTTGGGCGAATAGGCCCAAACATAAAAAAAATTTATATTTTTTCTAAGTCCAATCCTAATTTTTTTTGAGTAGGTTTAAATTAATCCGTTGGGCTCAATTCGAATTACCAGTTCTATTCACGTTAGAAAAGTTTTCAAATTCTTCTCTACAATTAAATTTGTAATGAGATCTTTTTTAACAATTTTTTAAAGATTTTTTCCATATCAAATTTAAAAAGTAGTGTGGGTCATGTGTTGTATTGCTAAAAGGTCCATGGGCCCCTCCTCTGAATATTTTATATTTTTTGACCGGACCTCTGAATAGATTGATATCTTGCATTCCTGTGTTAATCTCAGGAATGGTCAAATGTCAATGTTCATCTTTAAAAAAAAAAATTGAATTTATTGAATTTAATTATAATAATCTATATATGTTTGAAACTTTTATTTTTATTTTTAATACAAATATTATTATTTATGAAATTAATTGTTTATTTGCCTCGTACTATTTTTTTATAAGTGCCTCGTACTTTTTTATTCAGGTCGGAAGCTTTTAATTATCCTCTTTTTGGCAGACTTGCACTTCGATTGCATCCATTGTGTTATATTTGCTTAATGGTTCTGCTAGCTGGTCGCTTATACTGATATAACTTTGCTAGTCGTCATCGACGTGTCTCGCTTTGATTCTAGATACATATATAACGCACATTATTGTATCGTCATTCTTTGATAATTTATGATATGATGAGTTCATACTCTGACTAACTGGACATTCATGTTTGCAGTCAAATTGCTCCACCCTCTCATTTCCCTTGCATTGTCCAAAATCTCTCTATATATAACACGCATATCACAGCAGGCATGCTTCACCAACAATCAAAGTTCACAAACAAAAGCCAATTTTCAACCATGAAAATGCTTAAATCCGTTCTCATCGTCTTCTTCTTGGTTTTCTTGAATGGGGCATTTTCTTCTCCTCCACCTGATCCCATCAAGTGCAAATCCGGCAACACAGATTGCACCATCACAAACGCCTACGGCACCTTCCCTGACCGGAGCACCTGCCGAGCATCCCGAGTGCTGTACCCAACCACCGAGCAAGAGCTTATTTCCATGGTGGCTTCAGCATCAAAATCCAACACCAAAGTGAAAGCAGCCACCAGACATTCCCACAGCATCCCCAAGCTTGCTTGCCCTGGAGGCCAAAATGGGATCATCATAAGCACCAAAAAGCTCAACCACGTCGTGAAGGTCGATGTGGAGAGCAGAAGGATGACGGTAGAGAGCGGCATTCTTGTGAGAGACCTGATAAATGAGGCGGCGAGGAATGGGTTGGCTCTGCCGCATACGCCGTACTGGTGGGGATTAACGGTGGCGGGACTGTTGGCGACGGGGGCTCATGGGAGCTCGCTGTGGGGAAAGGGAGGCGCGGTTCATGAGTATGTGGTGTCGATGAGGATTGTGACGCCTGCGACGGCTGAAGAAGGGTATGCCAAGGTGAGGAGCCTATCCGAGTCTGACGAAGAACTCAATGCCGCCAAGGTTTCCATTGGGGTTCTCGGGGTTGTTTCTCAGGTACTGCTTCCATTCCACGCTTATCATGCAACGAACTTTTAGTGCTCTTCACGCTGATCTTACCAATTAGTGTGATGAGGTGTGAATCATCCAAATTTAAAATGTTACTTTATATTTTAATTTTATTTTGATTAAAAAAATTTATAAAATTTTTTATTATCAATATGCTTTAAATTTAATTTAAGAGATTCAATTTAATATTAATAAAAATATAAAGTAATATTTTAAATTTAGATCATTCAAATTAAAATTCAAAGCCCAAATTTAGATCATACTTATTATATTAATATTTAGATATATATCAACACATATAACTCTCAATTATTAATATTTTAATAATTGATAAGTCTCAATTATTACAAAGAAGTAATATTTTAATTTGCAGGTAACCTTACAATTAGAACCATTGTTTAAAAGATCCATTACGTACGTGATGAAGAAGGATTCAAATTTGGGAGAGGAAGTGCTTAGATTTGGGAAAGAGCACGAGTTTGGTGACGTGTCGTGGTATCCTACGCAAAAGATGGCAGTGTACAGAATTGATGATCGAGTGCCCGTTGATAAATACGGAAATGGTCTCTACGATTCCATCGAATTTCGTCCCACTCCCTCTGCTCAATTAGCTAAAAGCAGAGTCACAGGTTAGTTAATTGCGTACCTTCCCTTTTCATTTTCCTACAGATTCGAGTCAAGCTGTACAAGGACTGGGGTTCATCAACAGCCCGAAGCCCGGTTTGAGTTTGATCTTGTCTTGCCTCAGGTTCAGTCTCTGAATCTAAGACCCGGTCTAACTCGGGGACCATCTGGTACAAGACTAGACCGGGTTGAACCGATTTCTGTCATAAGGGGTTGGGGGAAAAAAACGGTAGAACAATCCATAACTAGTTGAAGTCAAAGAGAGAAAAAAAAAAACAGATCAACCCAAACCCATATGCTTATCAGACTGGAATCCATCCCAAACCCACAACACGGTCGTTGAGACTGCAGACAGAAGAGGCAGCCACGTGAGGAAACAAGCTAGTTTTAAACTTTTAGTTTACCAACAAATGTTACTCTAATTAATAAAGGTTTGATCTATAAGTTATAAGGTTGTAAGTTTAAGTTTTATTACCGAGATGAAAATTTTATTGATGGACGGTATGTAAATATATTTGTAAACACTTTTTGAGCCTTGGCCTTGACAAACCTCAAAGCTTGACTTACTTAAATTTTTTTTTTTTGGTAAAAAAAAAATAGAGAGGAGTCGAGCAGCCACGAGCGCATTTTATACATATATAATAAAACCATTTGGTTGGGTTAGACCATTTGTTCCGATGCCTTCCAAACAGAGGAACTAACGAGAAGTCGAATTGTCTATAACAGAGGAACTTCAAGAAGCAACAAGGGATGCTAAAGGAAAATGCGTGGATGCAGAGTCAGTGACTATGACGGATTTTACATCTGCTTATGGTTTGACTAACAACGGTAATCATTCTTTTTCTCACTTTCTGCTCACACATTTTGACAAACACCTTCATGAATATTTTTTGGTCCGCCCCGACTTGATTCAACCGACATTAATATCATAACTTACTAGTTTCTGTATGCATAAATAGGTACAATCTTTACTGGGTACCCCGTGATTGGACAGAACAATCGCATGCAGTCGAGTGGGACATGCCTAGATAGTAAAGAAGACGCATTGCTCACCATATGCCCCTTTGATTCCAGACTCAAACTTCGGTTCTTTCATGAAACAGCCTTCACCATTTCCTTGTCCAATGTTCCAAGCTTCATTAAAGATGTGGAGAAGCTACTTGAATTAGAGCCACAGGCACTCTGTGGATTAGAGCTCTACGGTGGCTTCCTCATGCGCTATATCAAAGCTTCAAGTGCTTACCTGGGAAGAACAGAGGATTCTCTGGATTTTGATTTCCTCTACTATAAAAGCAAGGACCCGTTAAATCCTAGGCTTTTCGAGAACATTTTTGAGGAGATTGAGCAGATAGGGCTGTTCAAATATGGAGCGTTACCCCACTGGGGAAAGAATAGGAATGTAGCATTCAAGGGAGTGATCAAGAAGTATCCAAATGCTGACAAGTTTTTAAGTGTGAAAAGAAAGTATGACCCACAAGGGATTTTCTCTAACGAGTGGACAGATCAGATTCTAGGGTCAAAAGAAGGCGTAATGATATTGAAAGATGGGTGTGCTCTTGAAGGTTTGTGCATTTGCTCAGAAGATCGTCATTGTGCTCCAGCCAAGAAATATTATTGCAAGCCTGGCAAGGTTTATAAGGAAGCTAGAGTCTGCACTTTCGAAGTCTGAGACTGATGTAAAGGAAAAGCTTTGATGGAAGGATGCTTCAAATCAAAGGGCTTTTCATTGTGTGATATTTCATATTTGAGATATTTCTGATCATCTTTTGTTGTGGAATAATGCAATGTGGTTTCTAATATTGCGTGTTAATTCAATAAGAGAACTATACATGATTCTCTGTAATTTGCAATGCGACATAATTATTGCTTCTTTTTATGGTATTTTCTTAATTTTAGTCCCTAAATAAAAGTTGCAATTGCAACGTATAAAAAATAATGTAGGTTTTTTTTAAATGAAATTGTGAATGTGCTGCATTAGTCCTTAATATAAAACAAGGTTAACAAGTGCTGCATTTATTAAGCAATATTATTTATAACCTTGAAATTGGAAGAATGAGTGTAACTTTTCAATTTTTCTTTTCTTTGTAATTAATAATTATAATAAGTAATTCTTTAAAAATTCAAATGACAATAAATAAATAAATAATGGAGGTAAAAAATTAATTACTATGACCTCGTCTTATATTTAAAATCAAAGAAACTTTCAAACTTTATCTTATATTAAAAACTGAAGTAGTATTTCTCATTTTAAAATTTAAATAAACTCTGCAAATTTTTCAAGTACTTAAAAATATGAAAACTTTTTGTAATGAATTTATTATTAACATTAATACTATTGCGTGCTTTTTTTCATCCCATACTTATGATACACCCCAAAATTATAATTAGTGATGGAGCCAAGGCCTGGAGGCAAGACTGCAAAATAGTTTAATTTAAAATTTAATCATTATTTTAAAATAATAATTACACCAAGACTAAAATTACAATAATATAAATAGATTGATTATTATTTTCTTAAAAAAATTATATTAAACGGATTGATATGAACTTTTATGTAAATATATTCTTTATATTTTATTTTGATCATTAAAATATTATATGTTTAATAAGTTTGAGTTTAAATACTTTTATATAATCCAGAGGATACAAAGTATTAAAAGTAGGGTTGCAAAATTACAAACTTACATACCTTACATGCAAACTTTTCCAAAAGTGAGGGGTCGCTGTAATGTGATTCCGCCATTAATTATAATAATTATGTATGGGGTTAAAGATTATTTGACAGAAACCATAAAATTATGGATTATTTGAAATTGTCATTATTCATGTTCCCTAAAGCTTTAGCATGCTAGGACAGCTGCACAACAAGCAGACGTCTTGATTCTCGACCGAACCTCGTGGACGGGGAAGGTTTTGAATCTTAGACATGTTCCGTTCCGAACTTGAGGGGGAGTGTAGTGTGTGGAGTGATGAATTTAGTTCAAGATTGGATTATTTTGATTTAGTTCTAATTTTGTGTTATTGATTATGACACACAGTGTTTGTGTCTGTCGTTGAGCCTTCATGAGAGTTGGGCCCAGATAAGCCTATTAGCAGCAGGGCGTGAATTGATGTGTCCGTTGAACCCATCTTTTATGAAACAATAGAATGTTTATCATCAAAATTAAATGATAATTGAAACTTTGAATTGACAAGGAATGGTGCAGTGCAAAGCGATAAAGATAGACATTTAAAGGCAAATAAAGCTCCACACCTCATGAAAGTCCAAATTAAACGCATCATATCATGGATGGATATTACCCTGCTGGCTTTTGTGTTTTGTGGTTCATTGCTTCACATTGAACTACTTAGATACAGGTTCAAATGCTGGTAGACCCCAAAAAAAAAAAAAAGAATATTGAACTCAAGCTGTTTGATAAAAATGGATATTTTAGAAATTCAAAATCCATCGTATCAAAGATAAACGTTCCAGGAATATCCGTTCTCAATTCCGTTGTTTACCCTCCAGAATAATTCTTTTTAAAATAATTAAATTAATACGGCCAGGGACTTTGTACTTTTGTAGGCAAGAGGGTGTGCTTGCCAGCTTGTCAATGTCTTTTATTCTCTTTATATATATATATATATATATATATTTGTTGTTATTCATCTATTGGTGATTTAGTATCGATGACTTTTCTTTATATTTTATATTTGAGGAGACACAAACTCGAAACCTTGCCGGACTAAAAGATGGATTCGAATGATCAAGCTGACCATGAATGTTGTAGCTTGCTGTAACTTCAGGTAATAGAAAGTTTGACCTTTGTTAAAAATTCCTTCTTGCTTCTTTCTGGGGTGCTTTTCATGGTTAAAAATTATAATAATTTTTTTGGAATGCTTGTTAAAAATACCATGTAAGAGAGTGTATCATTTGTATCCTGCAAGGAAGAAAATAAGAATGATCTACTTCCGTCGACTTCAAATCCTAAATTTGCAGAGCAATATTTATTTCTTCAGATTTGATTTCACTGATCTGTACCGTACAGATTTTATAAAATTATTAAATCTGAACAATTGAAATTTTATATTTATTATCATTTATAAATACTTGATAACTAGATTTATTACGGGAATATTTCTATATTTGAAAAATAAAAATTTTGAAGAATTTATTTTTTTATTTTTTGATAAGATGATTTATTTTAATCTACTAATAATTTATTATCTTATGTAAATTAAAATTTAAATAAGAAATTATTTTATTTTAAAATTTACTTTGTTCATGGATATTAAATATATAAACAAAATGACTTACTTTTTATTAGAATGTGTTGCCCTAGCAATGCTGACTGGCCCTTATACTTGTATTCTTTCTTCGATTAACATGAGGGGAGATTTTAAAATCGTGTTAAAAATAAACTTAATATTAAATTATAATTAATTAAAAAAATTAATCCACAATAAATATTTATGGATTCATCAATTGTTGCCCATATAAAATCAAAATTTAAGTATCAACTTTTATTATGTGATGTGTTACTATTACATTTAATTTATGCATATTATAAATTAAAAATTATTTTTATTTTTAAATTTTCTTACTTCCTACAGATTTAAATACAATTATCTGATTTTCTTTTAAAAATTTGTGCTCAAGCATCACCTTAAAAATGAAATATGTATTATAATAAAGCATATACTGTTTTATAATTTAGTATTAGTTATTATCCTTATATTTTATTCTATAATTTATTGGCTTGCGTACACACAAAATAAAAGTAATAAAATATAGGTCTCATGTTTATTATTACTATTTTAAAGCAACAAACGATGACCTTATATTGTATACCTACTTTATTATGAATCTCACACTTACCACGATTTTTTATTGATAATTTTATAGTTATTTTTACAATGGGCCTCACATGTCTTTTTCAGGTGTAGATATTTTAAAAAATTAAATAAAATATCATTTTATTGTTCATCCAATTATAGGTGAGCAATAAGTTAATTTACTTTATTATATAGTGAGATAATATAAGAAGTAAGACAAGAGAAGATTAAGAAATTATTTTTATTCCATTTTTATTTCTTTTTTAAATTTTAAAAATATTATAGAGTAAGAGAATTATGTAAAATATATGTCTCTTCTCAAATCAAATATAGATCATGTGTATTTTCTTAAAATCATAGTATAAGGCATCTTTTAAAAATCTTACCTGATCTAAAATATAGGGCATTTAATAATTTTTATATTCATTTTTTAACTATACCTCTACTTTATTAATTACTCTTTTTAAAAATTTATACTTTAAATTTTTAATTATTATTATCAAGAATCTTATATAGAATATTTAATAAGAGTATAAATAAAAAATATTGATATTTTTAAAATTTTAAGATTTTAATTAAATTTTTTTATAAACTGTAAATTATTTAACTATAATTTAAATTATAATTCGAAGGTAGTATTTAGGAAAAATTAATCTTTTAATTCTTCAAGTTTTAACTTAATTATAATTTAATCCCTCAATTATAAATTGCATATGACTCAGTCTCTCTATTTTTGACTCACTTTTAATTCAATTCCTCAATTTTTATTAGCTCTATTTTTTATGTTAGTTTAGATCCCACATTAAATATTTTAAAGCAAAATATGAATATTTTTTTATTTCTTTTATTTGATATGAAATTTTTTTTAAAAAATAAAAAATAAATATTAAATTATAAATGAGATAAAAATTGAAGAATTGAACCACAGTAAATTATAATTAAAAAATTAAATTATAGGTGAATTAAAAATTAGAGGATTAAAATATTAATTTTTTTAATATTTATTATTGAAAGCAGCGAAAGATCCTAAACTGAACATCACAAGAAGTTGAAATTTTTACATGACATGTTGCGGTGCGCTTCTGTTTCTATAGCATTACAGCTGGCTAGGTAGACCACTATGAATGGACTGAACTCCTGTGGCAACTTCAAGAAGAAGCACATGCGTTACTGTTCGACTTTAAATTGAAACTTGAACAGTTTAAATTAAACTTTAATAGTTTATGTATATATTGAATTGTATTTTTTTACTTTAAATATTAATGTTTAAAAAATTAAAAATTTCAATTAAGAAAAAATATAATAAAGCAAGGAAATTAATATTTTAAAATTAAATTTATGGATATTATAAAATCCTTTTTTGACAAAGAAGAATTTATAGATGAAATTGTAAAATAAAAAAAATCTTGTTTTACTAATTTAAATTTTTACAGAACAGATTTCTGAGTACACGTTTTCCATATTAATAAATAGATGAGCCCCGCATTTAATTAATCGTTCGAGCACTCAAATAGCCTGGCCCCGCCGAGAGAACTGCGACCATTTGCTTTATCAATTCTTTTAATTTTAAAATGAAACTCTAAATGACTAAATCCTATTAAAAAAAAGTGTCATATTTAGTGTCAATTATATTTCGAATACAATTAATTTTAATAAAAATATACTTATGAATGACAAAAAAATTATGTTATTCTTTAAAAAATTAAATAACAGTTAACATAATTAAAAATTAATTATTTTTTTATCTATCTTTATTTAATAAGCTAACTTAATTACAAATAAATATGAAAATATCATTAATTTTAAATGTTACTATTTAAATTTATTTTTATATTACATTTTGTGTCCTTTTTTCTCAAATAATAGATATATAATTAAAAATAAAAGGAAATTATTATTATTATTGGTTTAATCACAGTTCAAACTTAAACTATTAATTCTTGAACCAATATTTAGACTAATTTTATCATGTGTCCAATTTTTAATGCCTAATCATTCACATCGGTTTTAATTATATTTCTGTTTCGGGTCTTGCACTTTGTCGGCATTATTATACTAATTAAAAAACTTTGCTAATCAACGCGTGCAGTAGGCTGGCTTTGATTCTTGATAATTATTAAGTATATGCTCTTTCAGCCTTACTATTTTATTAGACATGTGTTTTTATAAAAATGAAAACACGAATAAAATCAATGAAATAGATTTTGAATGTTATTTTTTTAAAATATAAAATTTTAAAAATAATCTTCAGTCTAATAAAAGATACTAGAGAAAAAAGGATATTAATTAAAGAAGTGAAAAAAAATCAGAGATAATATAATTTTGAAATAAATTTCATTAATGAATTATGGGTAAAGGGGTAAATACTTATAAAATGATCATCAATCTGGAACACCTAATATCCTAAAGCAAAGAAAAAGGCAAAAATATCAATAACGTTACATGAGTCAGTACAAAAGTAATCAAATTATTAACTTTAACATAACGTCGTTAATTTTAACTATTAAATGCTAACTGTACATGTCATGAGTCAACCTTTATTGACCTGGACTAATAAAAGAATAAAAATACCTATAAAATCATCGGCTAGGAGCAAAAATACTCATAATATTACTAAAATTGTGCAAAAATGATCAATTCATCAAATCTCTTAAATATTGACTATTTAATTGATACCTAAGCAAAAGTTGACCATTTTTCGCTGACACAAACAAAAAATATTTTCAGATGAAATTCTTTGGAGGTTAATTAATCATTATATGAATATCATGTGAGAAAATGTCGTCTTGACCGAATATTAAATTAAATTACTTTTTTTTCAGCAGTGGCAAAAAATCATTTAAATTTTTTGAATATATCATAAATAAAATTACTTACAATTGTGACAATATTCTTAAGGTAACATGGTATAGGAGATGTATTTAGTCTTGATATTCGAATGTATATAACCTATCTTAATATGTTGAATATCAGGTTTTGCAAATAAAAAAATGAATGAAAAGGGAAAAAGGAAAGGGGCGGGATATGTGGCGATAAAAAGAAATCATATTACATGAATTTTAATTGATTGGTCACTAATTATGGACACTTATATGATGATTGATTAACATCCGTAAAAATTCATCTAGGAATATTTTTGGTTTACATAAGCAAAAAAACAATTAACTTCTGCTTAAATGTCAGTTAAATAGTTAACATTTAAGGGATTTGATAAATTGATCACTTTTGTATAAACTCTAGTAACGTTATGAATATTTTTACTCTTAGTCGATGACTTCATAATTATTTTTGTCCCTTTATTAGTTTACGTTACCAAAGGCTGATACGTAGTATGCACAATCAACATTTAACAATTAAAATTAACGGTTTAATTACTTTTGTATCTACTTATGTAATGTTATGAGTAGTTTTACTTTTTTTTCTTATTTTAAAATATTTAATGGCCCTAACTGATCATTTTGTAAGTATATTTACCTATTTACTTTTAAATTATTATTTTAAAGTATGTGCCTTGTGAAGTATCAAATCAATCATAAAGACATGTTATAAGATCAGGTGAGGAAGTGTGTGTGTATATAAACGGATTATTAAATTGATGCCAGTTGTGGATTATGCGTAGCCATCAAGAATTAAACATGCACTCATCTTTATCGTCAAAGGCTCCAACTACAATCTATCATAGCCGCGCCAGTTGCCATTGCGTATGATCTTGTACTGTCACGCAACTGGCTAGGCCATATGTGTTTCAAGCCAAATCTCACCACCCAATAATTTCTCCTATCAGGGCGGGATCAGCATTAAAAAAAATGTATATTTATTTTTTTAAAAAATAATTTTATCAGTTAGAATATATTATTATACGATAATTATTCATAAGTACAATTATATATATGTATTTCAAGAAAATTGAAAAAAAATACAAGATACCATATATCTATATATTAATTTAAAGAAAAATTTATATAAAATATATAAAAATGCTTATATTATTTTATTGATACCTTTTCATTACATTGATGTTTTGAAAAAAAATTAGGATAGAAAATAATAAAATTTTATGAAAAAAATAAACCAATACATGCATTAAAAATTAAATGTTTCAAAAATTTAAATTATTATTAATTGATATTGTGTTCAACTTGAATAATAAAAATATTTTTTTGACTGAAATAAAAAATTAAATATATACTCATAGAAATAGAAAATTTTTATGATGATTAATTCAGTATAATTTAATTAAAAAGACTAACACACACACACGCTATAAATAATTAAATATAGAGCACTTTTCTTTTTATTAATGAAAAGTTAACATTAGTTAACAAATAACAAAATATAATATATATATTATTTTTATTGAAATATACAGATAAAAGAGATGTATGCATATTGTATTATATAAATTTAATATCTATGAATATATTAGAATAAATAATAAAGATGCATCGTGTCATTTTGTTTTTGGAGGGATTGTCTTGGACACTTTTTTTTTTTCGGGTAAAAATATTTGCTTCGACACTACATGGGTATGGGTTTAGATCTTCTTCATAGCCTCTCTCAATACATTTCTCAATACTCAATCTCATCTATTAATTTAATTATTTATTTGATTTAATGATGTCATATTGTTAATTATGGCAGTAAAATAAACAAATTATTCACTATTATCTCTTGAATGCTTTTAAAAAAAGTTTACAATGCTTATGTATGATCATTATTAAATGAATAGTAATTTATTTTAATACCATAATTAACAATATGTCATCATTAAATCAAATGAATAATTAAATGACTGGATATGATTGAATATTGAGAGATGCATTGAGAGAGAGAGTAAGGAAAGGATCTTGATCTACATGGGTACCATATCCATTAGGGCTGTGCAAAAGTCTCGTGGTCTCGTTCGGTCCGGTCCAACCCATGAAAATCCGATCCTGTCCAATCCTGTAAAATGCTGGTCCTATAAGACTAAAAAGACAGGATTGATTTTTCGGGTAAGACCAGACTAGAGACCAAGCATCTGGACTAAGTGGTCCAGTTTGGTCCTATATAATTATTTTAATATAATTAAAATTAATTTATAAATTATTAATTAATAAGCCTTAGAAAAAAAAGTCTTAATCCTGCCTTGCACTTTGCACTCTGATTGAAAAAAAAAACCTCAACACTGTTACTCAACAGCACTTAGCGTCTCAGCCACTCACTCAACTTTGCTCTCATTCTCAATTTCTTCAGTGCGCCAAAGCCCTAACCCCTACCTTGCACTTTGCACTCTGATCTTGATCTGTTCGAACTTTGAAGGAACATGTCTGTGGGCTGATTTTTATTACTTCTGTTCTTATTGATTTTTTTCCTCTAATCTATTTTCGGTCTTTCCTCTAATTTTTTATTGAAGTTATGTATTTAAATCATTTGGAGTTTGGATTGTAACTAAAATATTATTTTCTTGGTGTTAGAAATTATTATGAATTTATTATGATTATAAGTGTTTTTATTATCTTAATTGAATTTGTTAAGTTGAAATAGATTATTGGTCATCACAGAGAAAAAAAAGAAAAAAAAAAGCTAAGTGAGTATTGGACTAATAGGACCAGTCTCCCAGTCTTATGGATCAAGTCCAGTCTTGTTAATTTCCAGATTTTCACAAGACCAGACCGGACTACGGGTTACCTAACCTAGTCCTTTTCATGAAAAAGACCAGACTCTGGGTTAGGCTAAAGTCCAGTCCAGTCCAGTCCCGTCCAATCTTTTATACAGCCCTAATATCCATATAATACTGTTTGTGAGGTATGAGGGGTTAGGCCTCCAAGGACCAACGTGGGTCCGCCCTGTCTCCGATCCCCACGTTAAGCTCCCACCTCTAAAATCAACATGATACTAGGAGTATATATTAATCCCACGCTACTTCACCAGCGAACAAAGTTTCCAGACAAAAGCCAAGTTTCAGCTGTAAGAAAATGCTAAAACCATCCATTCTCATCATCTTCTTAGTTTTCAAGAATGTGGTTTTTTCTTCTCCTCCAGATGACCCCATCAAGTGCACTTCCACCGACACTAACTGCACCATCACAAACTCCTACGGCACCTTCCCCGACCGGAGCACCTGTGGAGCATCCCGAGCACTGTACCCAACCACCGAGCAGGAGCTTATTTCCATGGTCGCTTCGGCATCAAAATCCAACACAAAAGTGAAAGCAGCCACCAGATATTCCCACAGCATTCCCAAGCTTGCATGCCCCGGAGGCCAAGAGGGCATCATAATAAGCACTAACAAGCTCAACCATATAGTGAACGTTGACGTGGAGAACAGAAGGATGACGGTAGAGAGCGGCGTCCTTCTGAGAGACCTCATCAATGAAGCGGCGACTAATGGGCTGGCTTTGCCTCATACGCCGTACTGGTGGGGACTGACGGTGGGGGGACTGTTGGCGACGGGGGCTCATGGTAGCTCTCTGTGGGGAAAGGGAAGTGCGGTTCATGAGCATGTGGTGTCGATGAGGATAGTGACGCCGGCGACGGCAGAAGAAGGGTATGCCAAAGTGAGGTGCCTAAGTGAGTCCGATGAAGATCTCAATGCAGCCAAGGTTTCTCTTGGCGTTCTTGGGGTTGTTTCTCAGGTATGTCTTCATCTTTATCCCGATAATACAATAACAGCATAAAGAGAGTACTACATGAGTAAATAGGAATTGGATAAAATAAAGAATAACGTACGTTCATGCGCTTCTAATTTCGTGTAATATATGGATATTGATCAATATTCAAAACTTTTTCAACCAAAAAAAAAAAAAATACGAACAGTCCCTCATAAACATCATTTGCAGGTAACCTTACAGTTAGAGCCGTTGTTTAAACGAGCGCTAAAGTACGTGATGAAGAATGATTCAGACTTGGGAGAGAAAGTGATTAGATTTGGGAAAGAGCACGAGTTCGGGGATGTCATGTGGTTTCCTGCGCAAAAGAAGGCAGTGTACAGAGTTGACGATCGAGTTTCCAATGATGAGTCTGGAAATGGCGTCTATGATTTCCTGGGATTTCGGTCAACTCCCTCTGCTGTCTTAGCTGCCAGCAGAGCCGCAGGTTACCCGTCTTCCCTGTTCATTTGCTTACATTAATTACAACAGAATTTATAACATTAAGTAGAGGAAAAAAAATTATTCATCACATTTATTCCAAATTTGAAGAAGTATTTATAGGTAAAAATGTAAATTTCAACAACCATTTATTATGTTTTTTTATAATTTTTTCTCATAAATGAATTGCATCGTTAAATTTAAAAAAGGTAAACGCTAATTACAAGAGCAATTTAGTCCAATTTTTTTATTTTAACATGATTATTAGGATTAATTAAATTTTTAAACTATGTGAGTTGGTTATTTTTCTCTTATATTTAAAAATAGAGTAGTTAGTTCAACACACATTTCATTAATGTGCAAACTTCTTAGGTGTGGAGAATCATTAATTTTAAAGTGAAAATATTTAAACAAAAAATAATAAAATTTTGGCTGCCTAGATTAAATCTGATAGATCATATTAAAAGATGCACATATGATCAATTATATTAATCAATGGTTCTCCTTAGCTAGTCCCTCCGTCCAAATGCATAAGATTTTTCTTTTGACAAAATAACACATACTAATGAAATTTATTGAATATATCTTACGATCTCAATTTTTGATAATTTTTCATTAATAAAAGATAGGAATATAACTTTATTTAATGAGTGAAACAATGAGAGGTGATATTGGAAGAGTATTATCATTAATAAAACCTTTTTTTAGAAAAATATTTTAAAATACTAAATTACCTATAAAAATGTCTTATATAATGAGACTAAATAAGATACCGAAACATTATTTGGTCTGGAGACGTCACAGTTTTGGACCAACTTAATGGGCTTGATATTTAATGGGAGGATTCTTTCACGGTCTAGATATTTAATATTCTCTTATTGTAACCACTACTTTGGATTCTTTCATGTCTTAATTTCTTATATGACCAAATAGGTAAACAATTACAACTTCAGCATTCAAGATGGGTAGAAGTATGAAATATACATAGACTATGTACCATTCTTTCCAGAAACAAAGTAAAGGGAAGTTGTATTTTTCTGTAACAGAGGAACTTCAAGAAGCAACAATGGACGCGATTGGAAAATGCCTTAGTGCAAAGTTGGCGACTGGGACGTCGGAGACATTGGCTTACGGTTTGACTAACAATGGTACTTGTGAACGCATTTTAACAAGCACCTTGTGAACACCTTCTTTCTTCATCCATAGTTGATTTAAACAACATTAATATATTCATCGTATAATAAATCATTTGTTTCTTTTTGCATAAATAATAGGCATACTATTTACTGGATACCCCGTGATCGGACAAAATAATCGCATGCAATCATCGGGGACGTGCCTAGGAAGCAAAGAAGACGCATTGATCAACATATGCCCTTGGGATTCCAGGCTCCAACTCCTGTTCTTTCACCAAACAGCATTCAGCATCTCCCTGTCTAAGATTAAAGGCTTCATCAAAGATGTGAAGAACCTAGTTGAATTAGAGCCACAGGCACTGTGTGGATTAGAGTTGAACAATGGCATTCTCATGCGCTATGTAAAAGCTTCGAGTGCTTACCTGGGGAAAACAGAAGATGCTATCGATTTTGACATCACTTACTACAGAAGCAAAGACCCATTATCTCCAAGACTTTTTGAAGACATTCTTGAGGAGATTGAGCAGATAGGGTTGTTCAAATATGGAGGGCTACCTCACTGGGGAAAAAATAGGAATTTAGCATTCAATGAAGTGATTAAAAAGTACCCAAATGTAGATAGGTTTTTAAGTGTGAAAAGTAAGTATGATCCACAAGAGATTTTCTCTAATGAGTGGACAGATCAGGTCCTGGGGTTAAAAGAAGGTGTAACAATACTCAAAGATGGGTGTGCTCTTGAAGGTTTGTGCATATGCTCGGAAGATCGTCACTGTGCACCAAGCAAGAAATATTACTGTAGGCCTGGAAAGGTTTATAAAGAAGCTAGGGTTTGCGCTTTTGAAAGTTGAGACTGATTTGAAGTCAAAGGGCTTTTTTATAGTGTCGCATTTCATGTTTCAGATGTTGCCGTCCCTGGGTTGCAGAAACTCAATTCATTTCCGATATGTGTGATATTAATATAACAGAAGTATATATGTGATCAGTAGTAGTTTGTAGTGTGAAAAATTGTCTTTGAAAGTTAGCATGATCTCCCGAACGTTCATTGTAAAATCTGGATCCATTACACAATTTGATCTTGAAAGAGGACAAAGAATATGGGAATAAGAAAACGAGGAAGATGCTAAACCTTCTGACCAGAATTCTATCGATAAGTCAGAGGTTCTTATATTATCCTCTTCTATGAGAAGAATAGTTGCTGGTTCCTCCGAGAGATCAGTTAACGATTCTACTTATCTACAGTGCATTCCACATGGAGAATCGACAGCTCAATGATGAAATGAATTGATGAATATTTCAATAAAAAAAATATTCATAATCTATATACTTGTTTTATGAATGTTGAAAATTAACTTTTTTATCGAAAGCTTTTAAAAATTGTTATTGTATTTTTTAAAATTAAAATCCAATTTTCTCAATGTTACATGTGTATTTTGCATTTGTAATGACTATACTTTTAGATAGAGTTGAAAAAACGGGTTGGCCTGATCCTATAGGACCGGCCCTTAACGGGCTCGAGCCTAAAAAGGCCAAGTTGTTTAAACTCGAGTTTCCTTTAGAGGGCCTATATTTAGAGCCTGGCCTTAAGTATAACGGGTTTAGGATTGGCCTTGCAAGCTTTGAGTCCTTTTACTTTTTTTTTTTACTTTTTTAAATTAAAAATAATTTATTCATTTTATTATAATATAAAATCTTACTTCAATGTTAAATCACATAAGCAACATTTTAATTCTTAATATCAACAATATATTGATTATACAAAAATTCCCATATTTCAAATAATAAAACATTAAAATTTATAAATTTCTAAATCAAGTCATACAATACAAAATTATATAAATATAAAAATAATCCTTTTATTAAAAAATATAATTAAAAATATTAACACACATACGTAATATGAATCAAATTATTTTCTAGAATCTAATTTAGATCAAATAATTACTTTTTTGTCCAAATATATCATAGTCTAGAATTAAACAAACCAAACTTTATCCAAAAAATATTAAGCCAACCAAAGTATTATGTAAATTTTAATTTAAAAAAATACTATAACAACTAAATATTTGAAAAATTATCAAAAATATCAATAGTATTATCATAATAAATAATATTTTAAAATATAAATAAATAAATGGGCCTAAATGGGCTAGCCCTTGACTCTACAGGGTTAACCCATTTAGGCCTTCGGCCCATTAGGGCTGAGTCTTATAAACTCGAGTTCTATTTTGAAGCTCTAAAACTTAAGTCCGGCCCTAGTAATTATCAAGCTTAAATGAGTTAGTCCTATGAGCTTAGCCCGTTTTCTTGACTTTACTTCTAGACAACTAACCCACTTATGATAAATGAATGCAAATTATATATATTTTTTAAAAAATTTATTTTACTTCTTCTGATCTTATTTATAAGTTACTTCCAGCATATTTTACTAAAATAAAAAAAAATCTTAAACTTTATTAAATTTATCTTAAAATTTAACAAGTTTTCACATTTATCCTTAAAAAATATTTTAAAAACTCATTACTGACATTTTTATTCAAAATATTTAATAAGGACAAAAATGTAAAGAAAAATGTTAAAAATTAACAAGTGTCTTATAAATAAGTCTAAATTTTTTCTTTTCTCTATGCCCTATAAATAGGGCCAGAGAAGTATAATTTTAGAAAAAAAAATTAAAATTATATTCTATTTATAAAATTAAGAAAATTTTCTATTTATAATATTGTTCAGTTTTTTTTTTTGAATTAGTTACATGGTCTTGATATTATTACCCTTAGTTTGGATGGAGAAAAGGACAGGGAAGAAGGAAAGTTAAGAGAGAAAATTTAAAAAAATAGTAAATAAATTTGTTATTTTTGGAAATCCCACTTCCTAGTTTTCTCCCTCCATTTTCTTTCTACCTTTTCCTCTATCCAAGCCAAGCTAAAGGTTCATCCAAGTTGGATCAAGTTATTGACCAGGTTTTTCTTTTTGACTAGAAGTTATTGACCAAGTTAATTGCATGAACAAACCTTAAAAAGTGACAACGTGATCAATGACTTTGAAAAATATAGTTGTTAATGTAACGTGTGGAGAATTACAAAAGGATGATGTAACTTTCTTGTATGGAATATATACATATATATACACAAGCACGTCATTATATTTAATTGATTCTGGAATTCGTTCACATTTTTAATTTGATCCAGATAAATACAATTTGATCTAGCCATCCAACTCGTGTGAAGCAAATATATAGACGAATTTTCAAAATACTCGTGTCTATCTGATGAAATATAAAAGTGAAAGATTGCAAAATTAAAATTTAATATATATTCAAATAATGGTCAAGTTGATCATTAATTTGATATATATACAAAAAATAAAACCGTTTTCGTAGCGACGTAATGTTGTAGCCGCGCAATTGATAGATAGAATATGATTTTGATTTAGTAAGTAACTTAAATTTACTTATTCAATGAGTGTCTCGATTATAATCATTGAATTTTATCAATACTTGAACATTATCAATATATATTTTCATTCAAAAATTTAAAACAATTTCCATGATCAAAACACTTCACATTCAAAAATTTGAGATTAATTTGATGATTTATGAGTATTATATGACAAAATATATTATGACTGTTAGATTTATTTAATCTAACGATTTTTATCATGTCACAAGAGACACTTATTGAATGAATATATTCAAACTATTCACGGAATTCAAATCTAGTTGGAAAGTTGACTGTGTTATAGTTAAAAGTTCCTTGTATGTTATTGCCTTCTGGTGTGTCATTTGGTTGTTGGAAATTTATGTGAAAAAAATGAATTGTGCTAAACCGTGTTCTTCGTAATAAGTTGCGTCGTAGAACGAAATTCAAAACTCAAGTATGAGCGAATGGCCAAGTCATCCAGGAATTTAAGACTAATTAAAACGCAAGTAAAAGGATAAGGGATTAAATTAATTAGAATGAAAGCAATGTTTAATTAGCTAGAAATGAATGCCACAGGAAACACGAGGATTTAAATTAAAATAATGAAACGAATATTTTGATTAATGGAACACCAGAACACCGCGAGGATGATTATTAATTGTGTTCTGATTACTTCGATTATATATATTCTTAATGTTTTCTGGATTTGATATCTAATCTGCCACTGGTGATCTCATCTCAGCATTCAGATTCCATCTACATTAGTAATAAGTTTGTTTGGTTCACATTTATATTTTAATTTGATTATTGATTATTATTATTTGAAAAGTTAAGTTGATAGTTCAGGGATTTTTTAGTTTTTATTTTTTTGAATAAAATACTAAAAATATAAATAAACATTAGAAAAAAATTTCTATCCTGATTAAATCTAAACAGCTAAATTTACTGTTGAAACTTGAAACCAGGTGGCAGATTAACAATGAAGAACCTGTTATATGTTTTTCAGCAATTACAAGTCAAAACAGCTAATTATTTGATCATTAATTATTTGATTATTAATTATTCAGCTAAATTCGATTATTAATTATTTAATCGACCCCCGAGGAGGTTGCGAATAATTGAATATTAAAGAGCAAGCTGTCTTGGTAATCCCTTTCCTCTCTGAATGTATTGATATATGTATATTCATTTAACCTCGTTAAACCTGTTTCCAAGAATAACGTTTAATATGTAGGTATAATTAATATTCCTTCTCCTGAATTATAAAATACTTTTAGATAAAATTTTACGTATTAATAAATCTCATTAAATATACTTAACAATCTTTTTTTTCAAAATAAAATTATAAAATTTCACAAATGCCCTTCATTTAATATCTTGAAAAAAGAGAGGGACAAAAATTAAATAGAGAGAGATAAAAGATAATATTAAAATAAGTTTATTTAATAAAATTTTAATATTCTCAAAGTATTTTATATTTTGAGATATCAATTTTCCTTCAAAAGTGCCTTATAATTTAGACTGAAAGAAGTAATTATTTTTTAAAATATACTGCTTCTAAGTGTAATTAATATATTTGTTTCAAAGCATTTGAGGACTTGAGGTTCAAAATATTGTGGCATCAAATAGAGGCTAAAAATAAAAAGGGAAAACTAAATTTCACATAATAAATAAATTTTGGTACCTCCTCAGTTTATGTTTGTCAATAATAGGACTTGTATTTAGCAACAAAAGAAATATTATTTCCTGGATCTCAAATATAAGACACCAATACCTATGTGCCAATAAATTGTTTTTTGGCCGAACAATAAAATTTATTAAAGTTAGTTAAACATATTAAATTTGTAACAGAACATATTTCTTATATCTACCCCTTAATTAATTATTGGCCTTTCCTGTTTATGAATCCCATATTTCTTTCTCATGTTTTGTTGAATCCCATTTTACCCGCATAAATATAAAGCATTGAGTGCCTGGACACAATAAAGATATAGTAGAAAGAAGAAGAAAATGGATAGTCTAATGAATAATCATGACTTATAAGTGATATTTTTGTAAATAAAGTATTAAATATTAATAAAAAATTTTGTAATATTGTTTCCATTTTGGTAACAAAAGTTTTTTCATTTTTTATAAAAGAAAAATTTTCATCCATTTTATTGCTGGTGGCAACAAGGAAAGAAAACAAAAATATGTGCTGTTTATTTATATAAATGTATACCTAAAAAAAGCTCCCATATATATAAATTTAAAAAATTAAAAAATATTATTTTTAATTCATACCTAATCTACTTTTAATTTTTTTAAAATTTATACCTATGGGAAGCTTTATGTACTTGTTATTTATTATTTATTTTTTTAAGTATATATGAAAGCATTTTTATTTTAAAATGCTCCTATATAGTTAACATACCGGAGCATCTGAACTTAAAAACACTTAAAAACACTTTTTTAAAAAATGTATAATATATTTACTTACAAACGTTCCATTATGAGCGCTTCGATTGCTTATTTTATAGTAGTGTAGTCTATTCATTAAAAAATATTAACAACTGGAATGAAAGTT